TGAGAAACAAATAGCAGTGAGACAGTTTCAAACCAAATTGGTAGGACAGTTTCAATAATTAACACATTGCATACATTCTTCCTAGTGGTTAATTGCTGTACAAGATGCAGACTTGATATCCTATTTACAAACACCATTAGAACAAATCCCTCTATTAAGAAAATGTAACTATATATCTATCCTAACCACTTTGAATACACAGATACAAAATGGATATTCATCTGTATCCCCTTTTTTTGTTAAGTTCCATCATTTAAATATTATAGGTGTGTAAACTCAGCAAAGTATTCTAAAACAGTTCAGTAGTCCATAATAGTATTGGGTCTTCCTCTTCACTGGCAATGTCAGAAATTGTTGAGTCCCCTACTGCTCAACATAACACCATGGCTTTACTTCTTATACTTTGTTTTTATACTTTTCTGCTGGATGGTTAAGACCAAGGTAAAGAAGGACCTATGCAACAAGAGTTGTCGCTTTTGGGTCTTGAAAGGTCAGTGAAATCCCCTCAGGATTTATCCTGAGATCCTATACCTCAGATTGTAGAACCTTTGTCAATGTCAGCCATGTGGATGAGTCACGTCCATTGCTTGGCCAATGTGCTCTCTGTGAAAGCCCAAGGGAATGTTTTCTCTCCATGTGACTCTCCTTAGGCACACTCTACATCATTGATCACCTTCCCCTTTGGCCCCATAATCTCCTTGATCAGAAAATTTGGGACACTACTGAGTTACATGATGTTACAGTATAAGTTCTCATATGTCCTGAGTCTTAATTGACCTTGGAAGGCTCCGGCCAAAATGTTGGCTTTCCTTGCGGCCCTCCCTTTTCTCTAATTTTGGTCTGCAAACTTAGGTTGGTGGTTTGTTTTTTTTTTCAAGCTATGGCAGGTTTTATTCATGAAAAATTCTGCTTGGTTTATTTTTCACCAGTCTGTTCTGGCATGCTTCTAATGATATCAGAATCACCTGGATCAATGATTGCCAGTGTGCATACTCTGTAGTATTTTCCACATGCTGTGCCCAGTTCAATATTATTGCCGCTGTAGTAGTGGATACCAGTTTTGGCCAACATGGCATAGGACTCTATTTCAGATTTCCTCAAGGCTGGGCAGTTGTTGACAAGGATGACCAATTTCGCTTTGCCCTGTCTGATCATCTTCAACGTCTGCTTGTACCCCAGCACGTATTTTCCACTTTTCATAACAAGTTGGAGCCTAGAGTTGATGGACTCCAGAGATTTTTTTCGTCTTCTTTGTGGCCACCATCTTCCTGTCTTAGGTGCGGACGGCCCTCAACCAGGCGCAGCCGCCAAGATGGCCGGGGAACCAGAAAGGAAGGACCAAACTTAGGTTGTTAACCCTCCAGAAGAGAAGCTTATTGTTATTACCATACAACCTAGGCTGTTAAGCTTAACCTCACTATCTGTCTGAATATCAAACATCTTAGGCTTAACATGGAACTGGTATTCTTCATCAAGTATTGATATGTTGAACTTTAAGTCCATATAGAATATGATGAAAAAACATTTAAAAATTAGAATATATTTTTAAAAATAGGCATAAAGAATTATATACTTCTTATGTTTACACATAAGTCCAAAAATCCAACCATATACAACCTTGAAGCAGCCTAGTGACATTTTTAATGCATTTTGTTTTATTTAAATATGTCCACTGGCTGCCAGCTTTTCTTTGTTTAAAGGGAATAGTAATAAGATGTGATGATAATAAATGTATAGTGTCAGCAGCAGATGTCCTTATAAGAATAGTAATTTTGTGAATTCTGTGGCCATAAATGTAGAGGTTGATAAAAAGAATAAAAACAAAAGAAATAAATAAAATGTGAAATTTTATGCTCAGTCTAAAATGATCAAGTCACTTCAAATGACACCTGAAAATCAAGATACCAAGTATTAAAAGTGAGTTGTTAGTAAGATTTGCTGTTAGTTCTGTTACATGAATCATGTCCAAAGTAGATGTGTCCTTTGTGACCAGAAGAAAGGAAAAAAAAAAAAGGTTAGCACATCATAAGAGAAATGATGGTCCAGACTTTGTTTGCCTGCCTAGTTATAACTCTTACATATAAATGGAGATAGAATAAAAGACATTAGCTGTAGGATTTTCTTCTGTCCTTTATTTTTTATCTAAGTGCAGTGATCTCCAAACCCAGAATTCATGTGTGAGTCATGTTCCCTTGCTAGTTTCAGAGCCATTAGTGACAAGGCACAGGGTAATGGACTTTTCCATTTCCCACCTTGCCCTCAATGAGATTGTATAACCTGTTTGACTCTCAGTTGCCAGGTTAAATGAGGTTAAAGTAATTCATACATGAAACAAACTTCAAAACTTTAATCCTTTGCGTATGAAACCATCCCTCTTTGATAGCTCAACACAAGATTGGATTGTTAGAAGGTGAGGACCACTTGTCCTTTTTTTTTTTTTTTTTTTCAAGCAGAAGACGGCATACGAGATGTTGCGGCGTGACTGGAGTTCAGACGTGTGCTCTTCCTTTCTATTTTTTTTTCTTCTCCTTTTTTTTTTTTTTTTTTTTAATATCTTCAGCACTTAGAAAAAAGCCTGATGCAGAGTTGGCATTTATGAGATATTTGGTTTCGGTTTTTTTTCCTTTGGCGGAACCGAGATATTTGTTGAGTTAATAAATGAATCTTATTTGATAGACCCTGATGTTGTCAAACAGTTTTGTGGCAATGAGTGTGAGTCTGTTATCTGCTGGCTACCAAAGCTTATAGCTTTTATATTCTGCCCATATTTTCTCCATCTTTAGAAAACACAGCATATTATATATTTATAATAATTGCTATACATGTAAGTATTACAAATATTCTAGTGTTTATGACTAAACAGTAAAGTGAATTCATGCCATTTTAGAAATATTAAGACTGGAGGTGTAAGCCTAGCCTTGACACTACCACCAAAAAAGAAGGGAAAAAGAAATCAACACAAATGTACCAGGGATGAATGAAGGGCATAATATCACAGATATCCCAGAAGATCAGATTTCTGAGAGAACTGGAATAAAGATGTTGATGAGCCAGTTAAGACAAAACAAGCATTTTCAGTTTTTAACAACTTGATAAGAAATGATTGATTTGATAGCTGGAGGAAGCATGTCATTACAGTACACAGCCCTCTGTGGCACATGTGTTATAGGTTTGCTGCTGCTTATATTAACTGTAACAGCTGATGTCAATAGCATAGGTTTTTTTAAATCACAGTAATGATTTCAGTATTAATTTTTTTTTTTTTTTTTTTTTTTACTTCTATTGCATCTTTATTCATTTGGTCTATTTTAAAGGCCTAATGTGTTCTGGGTTCTGGTGCTGGCAAATAATCACATGGCTCCTGTCTTGGAAGTGTTTTCAGTCTAATGGTAGAACTGTGTAAAGAAATTTGATAATGTTGGCAGCAACATATTATAAAGTTGGATAAAGTAGGGATAGAACACTGAGATTTGACAAGATTACAGCAGTAGGTAAAATCAGAATAAAGGATTTGTCACCAGGTATAACTGTTTTCAGGTGTTTAATTGAAAAGTGGTTACTTACTAGGCTATGAGATGCACATATTGTAGAGTTACCAGGAGGATATTCCTAAGGTATTTCCTTCTTATATATGGATTTTAGAGCAGATCCTCCCTCCAAATAGAATGTGACTTCCTTTATATTTACTGCTGCCATTCTATGAGTTAATTTAAGTTCCACCTGACTAGATGTTATATAATTCTTACTAATTTACTTTTCTAGAATATATTCCAGTGTCTAAAGGAAGCTATGCTTGAGTAAATTCTTTTAGATTAATAATCTTGTGATTAAAAGTTTACACTTTTATTATATTAAAATTCTTTTACATCCTTTATTTATTTGTTTATTTATTTATTTGGTATAGGGTCTTGCTATGCAGCTTGGACTTACAGAGGTCCTCCTGTCTCAGCTTCCCCAGCGCTGAGATTACAGGCATATGCCATCATGCCTGGTTTTGGTGGCCTGCATGCCAACCAGCATGGCATGTTGTACCCGGGAATTGACTTGGTCCTTGCACTTGCCAGGCAGGTGCTTACACTGCTGAGCTATCTCCGCAGCCCAAAAGTTCACATTTTAATAACAGTCTGTGTTGTCGTGATTGGTTATGGGCCAACAATGTGCATGTTTATAACAGTTGATTTATAGTGAACTTTTTATTTCAGAATAAGATACTTTATTGACTGAAGATTTCTTTGAACTTTTTTTTTTTTTTTTTTTTTTTGGCGGAACCAGGGATTGAACTCAGTCCCTTGTGCTTGCCAGGGAAGTGCTTATTCCACTGAGTCATCTCCCTGGCCCCCAGAATAAGATACTTTAAAAGGAAGTGCAGAAACTAATTTTTAAATTTAATTTTGTGTATTTAGTACAAGGCCTACAGGGTCTCACTATGTAGATTGGAGATTCTTGTAGTGATTCTCCTGTTTTCAGCTTCCTAAGCACTGGGATTACAGGTGTGCGCCACCATGCACAGTCTCAGTCACTGTCTCAGTGTGCCCTGGGGGCAGGTCTGGCACTGCGGGAGAAACTGTAATTTTTTGTTTGTTTATTTATTCGCTTGTTTGTTTTTTGGGTTTTTTTTTGTTTTTTTGTTTTTGTTTTTGTTTTTTTTTTGAAACAGGGTCTCCCTATGCAGTTCAGGCTGGCCTTGAGCTCACTTTTAGCCCAGGCTGGTCTTGAGCTCACAGGGATCCTCCTGTCTCAGCCTCCCTAGTGCTAGGATTACAGGCATGCACCACCATGCCTGGCTTAGAAACTGTATTGCTAATTTGATATCTCCAAGGAAGGTAATATTGGCTAGCACCTGCATTAAATACTTTTTTTTTTCTTTTAAGGTTTTGTATTAAAAGTAAGTCTTTAGGAAAGATAACTTTTTTGAATGTCACATTTAACTACCTCCTCTCATTATGTTATTGTTTTTGAACAGGATTCTGAAAATATTTAAACTTTTATGATCTTTTCAGATACAGTTAAAAAACTCCAGGACCAAAAACATGACATGGAAAGAGAAATCAAGACACTTCACAGGAGACTTCGGGTAGGATAAATAATCTCTTCCTCCTCCTCTTCCTCCTCTCTCCCTTCCTCCTCCTCTTTCTCTCTCTCCCTTCTTTTCCTTCTCCTTCCCTCTTCTCCCTCTTCCTCCTCCTCCCCCCAAATTTTTTCTTTATTTGGTACAGGTTCTGGCTAGACAGCTCAAACTCATAGTGACCCTCCTGTCTCAGCCTCCCTCGCACTGGGATTATAGGCGTGCACCACGGGCGTGCACCACCACGCCCAGTTTTGGTGGCCAGCTCAGCGCAGTGCCAGTATGGCATGTAGTACCAGGTCCTTGTGCTTACCAGGCAGGTGTTTTGACCTCCAAGTTATCTCCCCATCCCAGGATAAATCTTCATGTGTTATCTTTTTAGAAAACAGTTTCCCAAAATTTAAGGTCTCATCATTTGACCGTGTTATTATTCACCTTAAATTGTAGATACATTGCTGATATTGACCCCATTGGTTTTGAACAGAAAGTGAATGACCATCATTTCAACTTGGAGCTAGTCCTAGACTAGGGGCCAAAGAATGGAGTAATAATTTATGTGCAGCAATTTTAAGAAACATACATTAGGGGCTGGAGAGATGGCTCAGTGGTCTAAAGCACCTACTTGGAACAAGCTTAGCAAAGCATCAGGGACCGCGGTTCAATCCCCCAGCACCACATGCTAGCCAGGCCCGCCCCCTGGTGGGCTGAGCTGGACACACACACACACACACACACACACACAAAATTAAAAAATAAATAAAATAATTATTAAAAAAAAAAAAAGAAACATACATTATACTTTGGAGGGAAAGTTCATTAGCTTTTGATTTATAAAAATGTTCCAAACTAGACTATTGGCTTGCGTTTTCTTTGTTCCATGGATTTGATCAGCTTGCCAACATCACTACTGCTGTGATATGTGTGTGTGTGTGTATTAATCTCAATTTGGGTTATGCTGTAGTTGTTGAGGCTGCCTTCAAGATGTCAAAATTGTTTTGTGGGTAAGAGCTCTTAGGCATGGGCCAACTGTGGCTCTGGGTGGAAGGGAAGCCCTAGGGAGGCTTCCCACCCAGCCACACCCATGTCTGTGGGAAGCAACAGACTCTATATTCCCTTACTGCTTCTTTGTATAATTTTGTCTGCCTATATTGAGCTCACTGTTTTTCTTATGGCTTCCTCTTCCTTTTCCTTTACTTTAGTTTTTTTTTTTTCCTTTCTGTTTTTGATGTCAGGATATTTATAGATTTTTACTATATGGTTTGCATACCATTCATACACCTTTTTTTCCAGAGGTAAAACTCTAGATTTTCCATTTTTCCATAAGACTTGCTTTGAATTCTGCATGAGGAAAGGAGGCTTGGCATTATTATCATTAATATTTATTGAGCATTGTGAGTACTTGATGCATCAGTAGACAGATCAACTGGAAAATCTTTCTCTCATTAAGTACAAATGTACTTATCATTGCATAGGCAATAGCCGTTCTCTGGGATTAAAAAAATTAATCATCATTTGAGGTACCGTGCATTGCAGCAACCACATCAAACAAATTTTATTGTTTTTTAATAAATCTTCATTGCTGTCTTTTGGAAATAAAAATTTAGTTTTTTAATACAGGAAGAATCTGCTGAATGGCGGCAGTTTCAAGCTGATCTACAGACTGCAGTGGTCATTGCAAATGACATTAAATCTGAAGCCCAGGAGGAGATTGGTGATTTGAAGCGCCGGTTACATGAGGCTCAGGAAAAAAACGAGAAACTCACAAAAGAATTAGAGGAAATAAAATCACGCAAGTATGTTCTGAGAAATCAGTTTCATACTGTGTTTCAATGGAGAACAGCTAAACTGCAATTTTGTGTTGTGTTTTTATGGGAAGAATGTGGGAGTTGAAACTAATGAGTTTGGATTTAATAGAAATTAACTTTTCTGGGGCTCATTTTGTGACACCTGTAAAGCAGCACAGTCTGTGTGGGATTTTTCAGACTTGCTTGTTGTGTCAGTGATCAACAACTCTGAAGGGAGCCAGAATGGTACCTGGCATCAGCTCACATTATAATTCTCATTTTCCCATCCTTATGGTCCAGCCCTGCTCTTTTTGTTTAGATTGTGGCCTTGTAAAAAGATGAATGTGGCTCCTGTCCAGTCTTGTTGATTACTAGCTGTGTGATATCAGTCAGCAGCCTTAACTTTCCTGAGCCTCAGTTTTCTCGAAAATCTTGAAAATGGAAACACCATTAGCTGCTTTACAGTTTTGTTGTAAGGATCAAATGAGGTAATGCCTGCACAGTGCTCAGGGCAATGACTAGCAAACTTGAGCTGCTTTAGTATTTTTAGAAACTCAAATAAAGAATGCAAAGAGAGTTTCTCTATCATTTACTTGTGGAATTTTCACTTGTTCTATCACATGAATCTCCAGAGTATTTTTTTTTTTTTACACCTAACTGAGAAATCATTGTAAACTCATAAAAATTATTAGTTAAGATGGCAGCTGTTACGTGTTCTGAGATTCATAGTGAAACTCCTACGACTGAGGGGTGGTATTTTATTTCTTGGCAGTATTGGGGATTGAACCAAAGGCCTTTTCACTGAGCTGCATCCGTAGCCCACTGATTGGGTTGGTTAATTGCTTGATTGATTGGGAGGGTCTTACTATATTTCCTAGGTTGTGTTCCACTGTATCATCCTTTTACCTTAGTCTCCCAGAAGCCAGGGATTACAGGTTTGTGCCACTACACCTTGTGGCAGGGAAGAATATTTCTGTGTTTGAGGTTATTATTAAGAATTTAGGAGCTAGGGAGATAGCTCCATGGAATAAGTGCTTCTTGGGCAAGTGCAGGGTCCTGAGTTTGATCCCTGGTACCACAAAAGAAAAAAAAAAAAAAGAAAGAAAGAAAGAAAAGGGAATTTAAAGCTGGGCATGGTGACACATGCCTGTAACGTCAGTGCTCAGGAGGCTGAGGCCAGAAGATCCCCACAAGTTTGAGGCCAGCCTGGCTACATAGTGAGTTTAAAGCTAGCCTGAACTACATAGTGAGACCCTGTCTCAAAAGAAAAAAAGAAAAAAAATTTTGCATGTGGTGATGCATGCCCACAGTCTCAGCACTCGGAAGTTTAAGGCAAGATTTTTTTTTTTTTTTTTTTTTCCCAGAACTGGGGATTGAACTCAGGCCCTTGCACTTGCCAGGCAAATGCTTATTCTACTGAGTTATCTCCCCATCCCCTATAGGATTGTTAATTGCAGGCCAGCCTAGGATATATAACAAGACCCTGTCTCAAAAACAAACAAACAAACAAACAAACAAACTCCAAAATAAAAACAAATAGAAGAATCTGATTATTGCTTACTGTAATTCTTTTTTTTTTACTTTAATTCTTTATTTATTTTTACTGAATACAGGGTCTTACTATGCAGTTTGCACTCTTAGTGATCCTCCTGTCTCAGCCTCCTCAGAACTGGGATTATTGGCATGTGCCTGGTTTCGGGGTTGGCAAGGCATGCCCAGGGTTCCAGGGCCACATGGCATGCGGTACTGGGGATTAAACCTGGGTCCTTGCACTTGCCAGGTAGGCACTTAGACCACCAAGCTATCACCCTAACCCTTTAATTCTTAAGTAGGTGTACAAAAACATTTTATCTTAGAAAATCGGTCTTATTATTGCCTAGTTCCTGTGTATGGCCTGGTAAAGAATATTGCTAAGCATCTTTCACTGGCTTCCTTAAACAGAACTTGGAATGAGACAGAGGGCACTAGTACAAAACTTGCATTGCTTTTTTTCTTTGTGTACTATTCAGTGAATAGTGTATCAGAAGTGCCTCACTGAATTATCCTGAGTGAAAGTCTTAACTAATAGAAATAGTCTAAAATTCTGTTATGTAACTTTGTTCTGTTTTTGTTGCTAGTGATAAAATGTGGGCTTTTAAGTGAATGTTATGATTTTGGAGAACTTTTATTTGCCATTGGAAACTTGGCCGCTTCCCATGGTTAAAGAACTTTGTGATGCAATCATTGATATTAACAAATATGACTTCAAGAGAAATATTTTATAATAACAAGCATTTGTAAAATTAAGTCAGTATTTTCCTTATGATTAATGTATGATATTACAAGATCACAGACAGGCAAGGGATCCTTTAGCAATAGACAGTAGACCAGTGGATTTTATTGGGTAGAATAGGGAACGCTTACTTACATAGTTTTAGCTTCTGCATTGCACCTGACTTTCTGTGTGTTTGTATTGTGCTAGAGATTGAGCTAGGCAGCTGCTGCAGCACTGGGGTACACTCCCAGCCCACAGTTAGCATTCAAGTAAATAAAAGACTAAAACTTTTTTTTTTTTTTTTTTTTTTTTGGTGGAACCAGGGATTGAACTCAGTTCCTTGTGCTTGCCAGGGAAGCACTTATTCCACTGAGCCATCTCCCCGGCCCCTAAAACTTTTAGTTATAACAACTAGCTGAACATGAAACCTGTGCTTCATCTTGAGACAGAAAACCTATTTGAATACCAAATGGCCAAATTTTTCTAAGGACTGGCTTAATTTTTTGTCCCCAGAAGCATATTTGATAGTTTTATGACATGTGCAAACTCTGTGTTTGTAATTTCATTCCAGATAAAAACTTTCATGTTGGTTAGTCAGCTCAGTGAATTAGAGCCAGAATGAAGGAGAATTGGTTTTTCTGATGACTCAGGATGCACCATATTAAGCTGCCAGGGGGACGCATGTTACTGATAGGAGTGTAGGTTTCTTTGTAGAAATTTTGTTTTGTTTGTACAGCATTTTGGTTTGTTATTGTTCATTAAGAGCATGGACTTTGGTTTTATTTCTTTGTATTTCCTGTCTAAGTACAGCATTTTAGCTAGAACCAGTATAGATTATCCATATGTGTTAATGCCATCTCAGACTGTGGAGAACGCTAGGCAGCACAGAGTCAGAGCCCCAGCTCTGAGTCAGTCTCTGTGGTTGATCTGCCTCCCTTTTTACTACTAATTGATTACTGATGTCCTCACCTGACACTTATCCAATAAAAACGGAATTTGATTGCTATTTAACTTACTTAGGATAACTTGATAGGAAATTTTTAATGTAATTTCCTGGTATTTACCAAGCAAATGAGAATATTGGGCCAGGTAATCTACTCTGTTCAACAGTTACAGTTTAACCCCCCTCTCCCAGCTAATACCTTTTAATGCTTTTCAGTTGGGAGGGGAAAATGTGTATTCCTTTATCTATAGAGTCTGCCAAAAAAATCTATACATACTTTAGCAGTTCACTGTACTAATAAATGTCTGGAGGTTAATGGCTATACCACTTTGAGCACTTCTTATAATTGTAGAGCCTAAAGGTAACCTGTATTAATCTCAGTGTCTCAATAAACTTAGTATTAAAATGTTTGTACACTTTTTTTTTTTTTTTTTTGGTGGTACCGGGGATTGAACTCAGGATCTTGCACTTGCCAGGCAAGCACTTATTCTACTGAGCTATCTCCCCGGCCCCTGTATGTACACTTTTTAAAAATTTTCCTATTGTATATATTTTTTGGGGCAGACTCTGTATATATACAAATCTCTGCACTTCAATTTTTTTTTTTTTTTTTTAAGGCAAGAGGAGGAGCGAGGTCGAGTATACAACTACATGAATGCTGTTGAGAGAGATTTGGCAGCCTTAAGGCAAGGGATGGGACTAAGTAGAAGGTCTTCAACTTCTTCAGAGCCAACTCCTACAGTAAAAACCCTCATCAAGTCCTTTGACAGTGCATCTCAAGGTAAGTAATTCTTTGCCCATTGTACCAAAAATGTATAGTTGTATTCAGTTACCATGTTTTCTGGCATGATAGAAAATAAATATGAGTATTCTTAGTAAGTGTCAATAAGATAATCTTAATAAAGATGAACTTTATTCTCCAACCTCAGTCTTCCCCCATTTATAAATGGCAGCACCATTCTATCTACCATTCTGTTCATATCTAATTTATTCTTAGCAAGTCTTCTTGATTCAGTCTTCAGCGTGGATCATTATTCAATCTGCCTCTTTTTTTGTTTGTTTGATTTTATTGAGATAGGGTCTCACTGTGAAACCCAGGCTGGACTTGAACTCTAAGCAGTCTTCCTGCTTCAGTGTCCTGAGTGCTGGGGTTACAGCCATGTGCCAGTAGGTCTGACCATATCTGCTTCTTTCCATCTCTGGTGACACAGTGTTTTAGTTCATGCTATCAGCTATTAATTTGAGTAACCTGCTAGTTAATGATAGACCTTTTCTTGCTTAAAAATCCCACCCTGTCTCAAAAAACAGAGCAGCCCCCCCTCCCAAAATTTGGTGAATTCTTAAATAAGTCAATTAAGGAAGCTTTCCAAGCTGGGGAGATAGCTCAGCAGTATAAGCACCTGCCTGGCAAGTGCACAATCATGAATTTGATCTGTGGTACTGCAGAGAGGGAGAGAAACAGACAGAGACAGCTTTCCATTGCACTCATTATGTATGTACTTGTTTTTATAGTACCAAACCCTGCTGCAGCTGCAATTCCTCGAACACCTCTGAGTCCAAGTCCTATGAAAACCCCTCCTGCGGCAGCTGTGTCTCCTATGCAGGTAAGTCTTGGGGCTGCTGAAGGCTGTAGGGACTCACAATCTGAAGTTAAGTTCTCTGCTTCAGAATCATCTAAAAATATATCGGGCTGGTGAGATGGCTCAGTGGTCTAAAGCACCTACTTAGAACAAGCTTAGCAAAGCAGAGGGACCGCGGTTCAATCCCCCAGCACAACATGCCAGCCAGCCCTGCCCCCTGGTGGGCTGAGCTGGCCACACACACACACATACACATAAATAAA